ATTTTCATATTTGACCCTTTTACTTCTCTGCATACAGCAACTTTTCACTACCAACCATCTATGAGCTCACATTTTAGCTGACAGCAAGTACATCAGCCGATCAAAAGGCATGCAGGTAATACTAAATTCTTTAACACCATGGCTGAGTAGATTAGACAATTCAACTCACTCTCAGACGCACACATTTGGGACCGGCACTTAATGTCTATCAAAGAGTGATTTCTGTCTTATAGAGAGTAAAACAATGGGAGTAAAGAAAGGTAGAGACCAACTTAAGGTGTGTGTTTTAGTGGGGTGCTCGTCTTTTAGAAGTGTCTGTTGAGAGAGAGTCAACTGTACAATTCACACATACAACCTGCTGATACAGTGGAACCTTGATATAACGAACAGCCAAGGGACTAGGAAAATTTGTTTGCTATTACAAGGTTTCATTATATCAAAGTTCTTTCTCATAATGACTGGAGTAGAGAAAATCATTCCCTATTTAACCAAGGACTTCATTACATAGAGGTTTGTTATATCAAGGTTCCACTGAACTAAAAAGTATCATTGTGTCTGGCATCAATCAAGTGCTGCTTGTGTTGTCATAAAATAAACCAAACAAAAATGTCAAAAATAAAAAAAAATGCAACACCAGAAAATATTATGTACGGCAAATATTTACGTTAATTTACACACTGCTAAATATTTACTGCACCTTTATAATCTTCACTGGCTGAAAAGACCTGTACACTCTTAGGAGGCGCTCAAAACAATACAGGATCATTGGAACAATGACAAACTTCCATGTCTAAAAGTAAAAACTGTCAGTCAATAGTCACTATAATAAAATTGGAGGTACAGTCTGCATTTAAAGTATTTTGATTAATTATACTCAGGTCCACTCAAATATACAAATTAATGCAATGTATACAAAAAAAGTGATCTCCTTTTGAAATCTACATATAAGGACAATACAATGGTCAACACAGTAGAAATTGTACCATCTTTTCCCTGCAGATCACTTAAGAATCCACAAAACACGGCAGAGCTGTCATTAGGCGCCATAATCCATAACACATGTTAAGGTTGAGGTCACTTGATGTTGTGGGTGATCATTTTTAGTGGAAAGCAACATACATGTAAAGATGATTGACACTGCAATACATTTGTGTAAGATTTTACAGAGACAGGGATTCTTTATTTGCTACATCTGTATGAAAATTGAATAATGACAGCTCTAAGATAGTACCTGGAAAAAAACATAGTTTGGACCAGTTCTCTCATAATTACCAGGATTTGGGATTTGCCAGCTAAATATTCATTGTATTATCATTTTTTTAAATTTATTTCGGTTCTTCAAATTGAAACCCACTGATTGATGGATTGGTTGATTGGCGTGATCATCAATTCGCAGTGCAAAAAATGATTCTGTTGAGTTGATTCTCTAGGGTGCCTTGAGACAAATTGTCTCCTCATAACAAGATTTCTGTTATTGATTGTGTTCGATCATGATCCACAAGGATCCACAGCTGAAAACTGGTTGGGCTCATGGAACAACAGGGCTGTGAAACACATAGAAGAATGTTTCTTCCCCTCAATTCCTCACTTAAACATTCACAACCTTCCCAAAATACTTAACTTAGTTTACAACTTGCATGACAAGGAAAACTGCATTACAGAAAATATTAAGCTGTCCCTCGCAATCACGTCCGATTTCGAGTTCAGCCTCATACATAACACTCACAAATGTCTAACCAAGAGGTCACAAATTGAAGAGTGCTAAGAAACTCTAAACAAGTTTATTAAAGGCCATTTCCTTTTAAGTGTGGTCAGAAAGAATGATAGACTTTCTTTAATAGCGCTCACACTAGTAAGATTTTGGCTGCCATTTAACTTCGCTTCATAGGGTGCTATGCGGCATGGACTGGGAACTGCTAACAAATAGCGAAACAAACTTCCACACAAATTTTTAGACAGATCAAGATCTCAGACGCTCAGACGCTCTCAGACAAAAATAGCTAACTGCCTTGTGCAGGTAGCAATTAATCAAAAACTATTTGGACTTCAAAAGGGGCCTTTGCTGCCTGTAACCTCTCGTTAGGCGACTGATGAAAATCTCAGCCCCCATTGGTGTTGCAATGTTATGTGCTATAGGTAATGTGTAGGCGCAGGGCAAAACAAAGGAACTACCTTAAGCATATAGAGAATACTTCATGGAAAGTGCTGGTGTACGGTATTTACGCACGAGTTGTTGACGTATCAGAAATCGAAAAAGTGAGCGCACAAACAACGAGTGCCATTTCCGAAATGTTTTTCACTTTTTTAGCGAGAAAAACCCTTTGTGTAAAACTTTTCTCGTTGAATGTGTGTGAAGCGGCACTGTAAGCTGCAATAAAAGGCGGGAATTTTGGCGCGAAACTCAGACACCTCTGTGGCTTCTGATTGGACGTACCACTTTTCTCACATGTGAAAAAACTTCGTTCGTGATTCTGATCGGATATATCATGTTTTTCACGTGTGAAAACCATCGTTCGCTCCCCTGATTGGCTAGAACTAATTTGCGTACGAAAATTTATGACATAGCTTTTTGGTGAGTATTTCTCAGTATGTATATAATAAATAAGGTGGAGTTAGGTGTTGGCCAAGGGGACCATGGCCACCCCTTTTTCTGTGTGATGTGTAAGAATTCCTAGTAAGATAAAATAGTATCTATATACAAGTAGCTGGCAACTAGTGCGTAACTGTCCCAGCCACCCCCTTCTGAATATTCTGATTCGACCCTGTTAAGGTCCTAACAGTTACTTTACCCATTTCTACCCACCATGGCACCAGGTGCTTTAAACACAGGCTTTTCGGAATAACAAGTACTATTTGAATCTTTATTCCAGAGTTTCACATCCTTCAAGCACACCTCTGGCTTATGTATGTCCATGCTTTCCTCTGTCTGATAACGAAGTAGATCCCTAAAAGCACAAGACATCACAAGCAATCAATGAATTATGTGTTAGAGGAAAATTAAGGAAAAATTAAAATCAGCAAACACCACAATAAGCATGGAGCTGTCTGAGCAATCATTTCTTTGATTTATATAAAAAGCACATTGTTACAAGATTTGAGTGTCAAGGATCAGGACTGTTTTTTATGAAAGTCTATGGATGTTAAAGGAGTGTTTAAAAAGCATATGGTAGATAAATAAGCAGGGTTGCCATCTACAAAATTAGTTAACCTTTATTATTCCTTGTAAAGCAAGCACCAATTCAAAGGGGCGATTGAATGAAGAACTGCATCGTTCATGAAATGCGCATGGATTGCCAGGTAAGTTCTGATCTTCCTTTTCCTGTACACATATAACATATTACAGGTCTGTAGCCAGGGTTTTTTTATGGATAGTGCGATGCAACAAAGAGACAGACCAAATGAGGCCGAAGGGGCAAGTCTCTAGGTGGGGGAGCTTATGTTGTCTAAGACTGAATTGCACAGGAGGTTGTCTATAGACCTTTTTACTGATACGGCAGCCATATTGAATAAGTTAGATTTAAAGAGTTATGGGATGCCCAGGGGGCATGAGCATATTCTGTTTACTATTTACAAGTACCTTTTGGGGCAATTTTTCTTAAAGTTTCCTTAGAATAGGATTGTAATGGGAAATAAAGATCGTTGTGCTGTGTTAGGATTTAATAATGATTCCCTTTTTCCCGAGAAATTTAAAGTGAAAGCCATATTTCTAATACTAAGCAAGTACAAAGGATTGTGCTCATGCTCCCCGGGCATCCCATAATACTCCTTAAATCAAAGTAATTCAATATGGCCACCATATTGGTAAAAAGGTCTATTGGGGGGGGGGCTCACTTTGAACACGTCAGCGTGAGACAACTAGTGTAGGGGGTGCGGGGGCATGCTCCCCTGGAAAATTTTTTAATTTGAGCCCTCTGAAATGGCTGGAAATGCATTTAAAACTAACATGTTGTGGTGAAACATACATACTTTCAGCAACAAAAAACGTTGCCTTAAAAACTTTTCCCCACAAAGCGCATGATACCACAACAACAGTTACTATTCTCCGAACCTTCGACCTTATTGGATGATGGAAGTTTATAAAGCTCCATGTTAAAATAAAGCAGCTAATGCAAGAACGAAAGAAAAGAAGAATAGTAGCTTCACTTTCATTGCTGCAAATTTACGGTAGAATAAAATAATGGTACTTTCCCAGCCACTGAACACAAGCTCTCGACAGCAGGATTTGTGCTGTGAAACGTCTTATATATCAACCCTGCTAATGAGTTCGGATTGAAACGAACCAATCATGAATTAAGCCGTTTTCCCGTGAGGTTCTCTTACAAACAAAAATCTATATCTTGTCCTTCAATTCGGGGCCAGGATACTGATAATAAAAGTTAATTAACAACCTTTGTCCACCAGGAATAATCAGTTTTTTGGTGAGACACTAAACAGAAAAGTAACTTCGATTTTTTTAGTATTACTTGCTTTTTACTGTTAAAAAGTGGAGGGGCTAAAGACCCCTTCTGGTCCCTCCCCCTGCAAGGTCCCTGCAGCAAGTGTCAAGCTAACAGTAACAAGAGTTGTGTAGCATGAATAGGAGTTTGTAACACAAAGAGCTGGGTCCAGCATGTCAATGCTGATGGGGAATCTCATACTCGCCGACTATTAAAATAGCAATTCAGATTCAACACTTGTTGCAGAAAACTATGGCAAACAAACCCTTAAGGGAATTTTATTGAGCAATGAAAAAATGTCTTGTGGGCACATTAAGTCCCCTTTTCATACTTTACAAAGGCTAAAAGACATGTTTTGTGGAAAGGATGAGTCAGCAGGCTTGTGACCTCTTTTACAGCATTTCAATTTCACTACACAATCAGTAAATTAGAATAGAACAATATTTCTACGTCACTTTGTTTTTGATCGCTGGTCAATAAAAAAAGTGGACCTCTGGTGACTGTGGGGGGGGGGGCGGGGGTGGGGGGTGTGAGCGCACCCGTGGCACTCCCCTCCCTACAGGCACTGATCTATTATTTGAGTATGTATCAGGTTTGTGCCCACAGCAGCCTTCTAAAAATAAAACCCGTAATGAACCAATTTGAGACTGTGATGTTTTTGCTGCCACTTTTAGTAGTCAACAAGTGCCTTATTATTTTGGCTCTTACATATACATTGTTAGAGCATTTATTAACCTTTTAACCCTCTAACCATGATACTTCCAAAAATAGATTATTGCAATTTTGTTTGGAACAACTTAGCTTCTTCTAGATATAATTCTTTAGAACGACTTCAAACGAGGACTGCAAGAATTGTTCTGAAGGATAGCAATCTTAGTCACCACCAACTGTGAGGCAAGTGCTGGGAGGCAAGTGCTCTCACCACTGCGCCATCCTTAGCCCCCCCCCCCACCTCTACTAATTCTTAAAGGAAATGTATGGAGATCAGTTGGGAGAATTTGTATGTAGATATTGGTGCTTGAGCATTGAAGAGTTAAGTTACTTACCCAGTACCATGTACCACAAGGCCAGCAAAGAACACAACAAACAAATGATGAGTGAACCAAAATGTCTCAAAGTATGACCTCCTGCAGAAAAAACAAAATATTTCCATTTTTTTAACCCAAAAAGACTTTCAGTTCATTAATAATTACATGAAAATTAAAACCAATATTGTAAGCAGACCAACCTTTTCTAATCTTATACATGCAATCAATACTTAAGACAAGGCTCAAGACTTATTGGGCAAGGACTTTGACTTCTTTTTAAAGTTGCAGGTAATTACTGTTAATTTATCACTTTGCCCGTGCAATTCAAATTTGGCCCCTGCAGGCAAGTATAAGTCTTTCCTGCCAGATGACTGATAAATAAATGAACATATGATGGAAGTTTTCAAGCTCTAAGAGGTTACTTTAAAGAAGCTGATTTAGAAATGAGCTTGTTTAGTACTAAAATGGTCAACATATTGTACAACTGTACCTTACAAGGTCTGTTGAGGATGACAACATGAGAATTAAGCACAGTGTTATGACGACGCCTGTAATGCCCGCCGCTAACAAGTAAAGAATAATCAAGTATTACATGGAGTCTGGAGAAGGAATGCCTCCTCTTCACACCAGAGTGCAGTAGAAAAAAAATTAACAACAGGTGTACTGAGGTTTCTTCATTTTACATGACTGTATTTACATCTAATCAACCTGATCTGGACTAAATTGGCCTATAAGTCTAAGACAAAAATAGCTGGAATGCCTCCACCCAACACTGTTTTTCAGTTCTGGCCTGTCTCCTCATCCTTCCAATGTTGTTTATCATAGTTAACTCACCAAATCTTACACACCAACATTGGGAGGGCAAGAAGACAGCAAATTTAAGTGTCCCAACAATTTTGACTGAGACTGTAGATTGAAACAAATTTACCTACAATAGGTTGAAGTAAATAATGGACAGCCTATATTAAGTTGAAAACAGATAATGACCTAAAAAACACCTACAACATATATTCTCACTAGCATGAAAATCATACATTTTGTATTATTATGACAATTATTGTTATTACTCAAATGTTGACAGTACATTTTACGCAAAACATCAACAGAGGATAAAAATTTCTGGACAATGCTTTAATTATCTCACCTGTCTTAAAAAGGCCTGAAACGGGATCCTGCACGAGAAACAGAAATAAATAAATTAAACTAAGAATACCAATTACAGAAAAGTATCAGTTGACAAGAAAAATGTTTTTCTTATAACAGCATAGTTTACATATGTTGGGAAAATTTCAGACCTTATTCACAATGATAGCCATCTGCTCTAGAAATGATGCAATAAAAGTCACGTCACGTGGTTTTTCAGGGCACAAACAGATGATAAAAGCTGCCAATAAGAGCAATCACGGTTGAGTTTGTTTATTCCCTCATTTCCTAAATTACAAGATTTAGTCATTCAAACTGATGTACAGATCAGGTTTTGTCAAGTTTTATGTCATTTTTGCTTGTTGTGGAGATAAATACAGTTAATATTGAGTTCAATAAAGTCCAAATGATTGTTTCCATCCATAATTTGCTGTTTTCATCTTTGAGATTAAATTTAAAGCTTTCCTTTTTTGCTGTTAAGTAAAACAAACGTGAACGCTATTTCTTGTATTGGCACATTTTATCATTTGTTTCCACCCTGAGAAACCATGTGTTTCACTATAAAAAATTGCGATAAAACATTTCTTAAAATCATTTTAAGATTAAAAAAAATTGCTAAAAAGTGACGACGTTTCGACGTTAGCTGAACGTCATTATCAAGTCAAAATAAGTTAGTGATTTTTGGTCTATAAATACTAAAAAAACAACAACAGCTGATTAAAAATTGTAACGTGAGAAAATATTAAACAAAGAGTTTCGCACGTATGGAGTCCGTTTGAATATTTAAATTGGGCTTAAGTTTCTTGATGAAGAGCATTTCAAAAAAACCAGAACATGTGACATGGCTTTTATCCCATCAGTCGATAAACGTGTGCAAAGATGGAGGGTATCTGAATAACGTCTATTAGGACAAAGTAAAAACAATCGCCTATTGATTGTTGAAAGAACTAATAGCGGAGCTCTCGCTTGCAAAGCGTGCAGCGGATCACCATGGGTAAGAAAATGAAGTAATCTACCCATCAAAGAAAATTTAGTAATCATGTGACCGTACGCCCACCTAGCCGGCCGTCTGTCTCCAACACAGGCATATCAATGTAAAATAACTCAATCAACAGGTTAATGGCAACCCAAATGCAACTCGAGGTTTTTCTGGCGGGAAATCACATAGCCACCAGCGACTTGTAAAGCAGAAAAAGATAAAGAGTCAATAAAGACAAAAACGGAAAGTGGAAATTGTTTCTGTATCTGTGTTGTTCAAAGTATTAAGCTTAGACTAATTGCCATGTCCACAAATTTGTAATATAAAGCAAGAGAAAGACAGAGAAAAATAGAAAGTAAGCTGCAGGCCAGTGAAGGTAAACGAGGAAAAGGGCGACAGAGATCTAGAGAAAGAGATAAGAAACAAAGGAGACATTTTTTGTTGGAAGAACAACATGAAAATCTTGTAGCAACGGTGACAAAACGAGAAATGCTAGCGGCCACCAAAATGCAAGGTGAAAATGAGCAGCAGTGAAAAAAAAAGTGAACAAGAACACGTATGACATTTCCTCCATAAAAAGTGTAACTAAGAAGTTTCTGGAAGTTTCACATTGTAGTCATGCAAAACAACGACAAAGATATGTACAAAAAAGTGTGCTGCACGTGCAAAGTTGCTGTTTTGCTAATTGGACCTAATGTTGTTTTTCACCGTTCTCTAGCATTGCCTTTGCCACTTAGCATAACACAATTTTATATTTTGTTTGAACAAACTATATAAATATTATCGAGAGCTTCGCTTTTAGCCCTGGCTAAATCTATATATTAAAATAATTATATTAAATTTGAATTTTCTAATGTACACAAGCTAAGGGTTGATCGGAAATGATCACAGAAATCTGGGATGCATCGGGAAAATGGAAATACATGTATTCCCAATAATTCTTTGAAATGTCCCAAGTCATCCTAGACGATGTGCGATATTTCCAGTCTTCATTAGTCAAGGGGCTAGGTTACAAGGATATTGCTGTTTTACGTCAGTTGTAAGTGCATGTTGAAGTCATAAATTAGTGCCTTTACCAATACACTAAATAATGCTCCAGTAGAATTGTACAGAAGATATATTTGTATCAAACAAATTTCATCAGGGAACACTCGCCATAACAAGGTTTTTTGGTGATTTTTGCAGCTGGCATAGCATTAAAACTTGAAAAATTTCAATCCACGCCTTAATCCTTGCCATCCATAGCAAAAGACAATGGGAAACAGTTTTAATGCCTAAATATAGCCTTTACTAACAAAACTATTATTTCTAGAATTTAATTAATGTCATGCCAAGACACATTTTAGCTTTATAATAAACTGAATAGCAAAAAATATGACATAGCATGTTTGACTTAATTTATAGCTCCCTACTAAACTAAACAACTCACAACTCCAGATGTTCTTATTGGGTTCAGCCATGGATCGTCCAACTGACTCAGGCGTTGCTCAATCTTTGACACATCTCCAGAATGACTCTGTGTTAGGTTTGTCAAGTTGAAACAGTGTCCACATATATGAACCACTAGGGAAAGTATTGAAAAACGTCATCTTAATTTTTTTTCTTTATTTCTGTTGTACATGTTTCATGTTAAAATGGTTTCACACTAGTTTGTTCTAAATCTCCTTTGCCTTCAAATCCTAATTTTTTATTCATAACCCTGACAGGGCTCGGAAAAAAATGTCCCGTCAAGTACATGTAGTCCAGGACAAGTATATATTCTTGCTGGGCAAGAACCTTCCATCTGATTATCAAATCCTAGTCAAGCATGAATTTGAGAAAACGTTTACATGTGGCTAAATTATAACATAGTTGGCCTACAAAGTAAAAGAAGTATGTAGCCAGATTGCCAGCTTTGCAATTATACCAAAGAAAGAAATTGTCTAAGTATTAACACAGTAGTAACATTCTTGTCCAACAACCTTACAAAATCGCAACACCAACCACATCACAAATTTTGGGGGTTGTGTTGGAAGCCCTAGGGATTTTATTGTTTAGGTAACCTCCGACAATCCAAACCCTCCCCCCATCCCCCCAGCCTCTACTCACTCACCAGTGAAGAAACAAATTGTGTAAGCACAGATCTTATGGAAGGTTATGTTCTTATCCAACAACCTTCCAACATCACTACACCAGCCACACTAATTAAAAATAAAGAGACAAAAATGACATCATTAATAATCACCAAATGTGCAAGTCAAATGTCAACTAAAAATTTAAAGTGATTACTTCACTAACAGCATAAGGGCAACAGATGATATTGCCAATACCAGAGGCCACACATTAAAAATATCAAGTTGAATTAATATACTTACAGGTAAAAATTAAATTCAGGTTATAAAAAAACTTTAAACCAACATTAGGTTGATTCTCAGTTAGTTTGTCTTTTTGCCCTAAACCTATGACTAGCTGGGTCAAAAAATTTTCACCTGAATTTAATTTTAACCCACAATAGCCATATATTTCTGTTGGAGGTTAGCATCTGTTGTCAGTTTTAATAATAAAAATTATTCAAAAAAGAATTAGGAAACAAAGAATTACATGATTAAGAAAAGAAGATTAATTCTGTTTCACAGAGTTCTCCTTATCAGGCAGTAAACAGTAAAATTTACCACATGAAGCAGCAATTCTTACCGCCTGCAACCGCTTAATGTGTTACTAAAATGAAATAAGCAGGGCTTCTGATATTTCGCGGAAAAAAAAGCAAAATTTCGCGGGATTTTCAGGGGCAAATTCGCAGGGAAATCGGCCGATTTCACAGGAAATTTCAGGGGAAACTTTGCCAAGAAACAATCAGTAAAAAACAGCCGATTTTGCTGGATTTTTTTGGCAAATTTCGCTAAAATCGATCAATTTTGCGTTGATATGACAAGCGTTGTTTAAAGTTTTTTTTAACAGGGATAATCATTTGCTCTTTCAACAACGGTTCCCTCGAGAAATGAGCGAATGCTACTATTAACATTATGGTTAGTGCCCAGTTTTTCGCGGTATTTAGCTTTTTTTGGGGAATTTCGCGGGATTTCGCGGAAATACCTGAATTTCACGGGTTCCAACCTTGCGAAATATCAGAAGCCCTGAATAAGTTGTTTCAAAAGATATGCAAGTTGTGCTCCAAGCCGATCTTCACAAGAAAAGGAGAAAATACAGAAAGAAAAAGGTATACGCAGCTATATTCTCTCTGACTTTATTTAAATGCTAACTGGTACCTTTCGAGGCACTGCAGGCTAACAATAATTTTTTTTGTGGGCTTTCATCCCAATTATTCTAGATTTTCTCGACCAGCAGGAAAGTTCACGACTTCCGCGAGTTGTTACTAAATTGACCCAAGTAGCAAAGGCAGCCTTCATTTAAAAAAGTCTTTGTTTTGAGGTGTTTAAATTACTTTTCAGTCAATTGTTGGACAGGATGCTCAAAAATAAAAGCCTTCATGAACGTAAAAACCCCCCCACCAGGAAAGTGCGCCTCTATTGCTGGTCAAGAATGGTCACTCGCCTGCTGAGCTAAAATTTAGAGAGAACACTGGGTTTAAGTAATAATTTCAATTTGTCATATCAGCTTGAAAAGCAGCTTTTGATCCTCATGAATTTATCAGGAATTTGGGCAATTTTGGCTATTTATACAGTACCTCCAGATCTGGAAATTGAAATCCCACTATAAAAATACACTTTTCCATCTACATTGAAAAATCCACCTACATCGTACCGGGGTAGTTCCGGGCTATCAGACACGACTTTCTTTGTACACTGAACCTGAGAACAGTTTTACTTAAAATTTATCCACTTTCATAAATGGCTGTTTTCACAATTCTAGACACTGATTATCTGACACAGATAATCCATCTTCAGAATCCGTCAAGTTGACACAAAATCAAACAAATACAGTCAGATGGATTATTCGTCCAAAATTAAAACTGTTCTGCTTTCACATTAAGACAAATTATCTATCTGATGCAAATTATTTAACAGATAACGCATCTGAGACAGATAATCCATTTTTAGTGAGAAAAAAGCCAATCCAAGAAGAGATGCCCAACCATACATATAAACTCACAATCACTTAAGAAAGCATGCCTGTACATGTACTTCAGTCTTACCTTAAGATTACTCCTGATAAGAGAAATAATGTTACGACACATCGACAGCAGGATTAACGTACAGTTGAAATTCAACACCATTGCAGCACCACGAGCAAAAGGTAGCCCACCCTAAAAACAGCAACACAGCCAGTTAAAACCAACAATAGATTACAAGAAATAGCCATCCCGACACCCTCTCTATCTGACAAATATCATCATTTTTAATATAATTTATTTATTCTACATGAATACAGTCTTCCATACCTTGATAATCTGTCTCAAATAAGTGTACTTCTTTGTATGTCCGTAATTCATGTACGTTGAGACAAACAGTGCTGCATTTATACCCATCCACATCAACTGTAATAATAAAATCATTGAATACACAAATCACAAATCTCACATATTTTTATAGCTAATGCATTTCCCTGCTGGAAAAGAGGAAGGCCTCCGCTACCAGAGAATTTTAGCATACATAATAACAGAAATGACTAACTTTCTTTTCAACTCAAACTGACATGTGTTTTAAAAGTATCGAGGATTATGAAACAGTCTTGTTGATGGACCTTGTGATTGAGTTGCAAAATAGGTTTATTTCTGGTTACATTTGTAATCTTGTTTGTAAGGACCAAAGCTGTGCTTTAAGGAAAATTGAAGGGCTTGGATGCTCTGAAACTGTGAAATCTAGGGTGCCCAGCAGATGATTTGCATGAAAAAACTAAGATTTTCTAGTCACTCAGGAGCAAAAATTCGGAGCCAGGGGCAACAGCGGGCACTACTAGAGTACATGCAGCCCTCAGGACATTTTTGTTGTTGGTTCTTTCAGCAAAAAAGGAATCATCAAAAAATAACTTTCAAGTTTGTGTTCAGTACTTTTAATAAAGCCATTCAACCCGTACTGATCTGAGACAACTAGATATTCCTTGCATTGGTGTAGTATTTCACGCAAAAATGCTCAACGAATCTTTGATAATAATGAAAATGAATGCTAATTCGTAAAGATAAATGCATTTTCCTGGCAATATAATGAAACTGACATATGCACTATTGAAATAATGACCAGCAATAGTTTTAGTTTAAAAGCTAATATATAAGACTCATATTTTATTGCTGCGAAGCCTAGACTAATTCAGGTCGCATACATGAAAAGCCTGTCTTGCCTGTGCCCAATGCCAGCCCCATTTGAGAGTTTTGGATACATGTACGTTTGTATGCATGTATGTATGTATGTATGTATGTGTGCATATCACTTTTTTGCCTCAATTTCATGGTCATCAAATCCAGGCCCTTTTGGTCATAGCCAATCGATTCAGAATTAAACCCTGAAAGAAAAAGTAAATACTGTGTCCTCTAGCCAAGAACACTCGACTATTGATAAAGTGGGCTATGGAAAACTTAAGGCCGAGAAATCCTGTTTATGTGTAGAGAATCATGTTTTCACAAGCGAAGAGTATGAATGCAAGTGAAGGTAAAAAATTCTTGTGAACATGAAGCGACATGTTTCTCTAACCGATATTCGAAGCAATTTCTGGAACTCTACCGTAGATAAATTTGGTGTTTTGGCCAAATTTGTATTCAGGCAGGCTTTATTGTATTTATTGAAGCTTAATTGATAAATTGCTCTAGTTATTAAGAGCTTTTCTGGAATGTGTGACAAGGTTTGTTCTCCCCAGGGGGTTATAAAACCTTTTATACACAGCAGAAGCAAAGGTTGAAGATGATTTGATACGCTTGCCAAGCGTGATGCACCACAGTTTAATATTGAACTCGACTGGAAATTCACTCGTTTAACTTGTTCACTAACTCCATCGCTCTTGAGCTCTTAGCCTCATTGTGGACAGGTTTCAGATAAATAATACGCTGATTTACTCTCACGGACTTTTATACAATAATTTATTGTACCTTGATACACGCACTTTTTTTCACCTTCGAGTGTCGTGTTGCATTGCATGCATAGACACGGTTAGTGGCAACTATCAAAAATCGAAAGAAATTGCAACTGATTCAAACTATTCAAAATGTCATGCTTTACTAGCGGCACTTCACTTTCCATTAAAAACTACTAGTTTTGAAAGGTTCTGGGTACATTGAGGGTGCAGACCAAAACGGAAGTTCACTTCATGAGTTTATTAGATAAATTTTATTCACACCTGATGTTACATTATGAACTCAGTTAACTTTGCAAAGTAAAATGAAATAGTAAAATATAATTATAAGGCAGAAACAGATAGCTTGTAAGATCAGAGAATTGTGTGGTGGTCAGAGGAGCATAGGCTTAACCTTTTAAGACAACAGTCTGCTTCTTTTCAACTTAAATAATTTATCAATATTGAGATCCTTCACTCTTACTTGACCCAAATTAAGTGTCCAAAAGTAACCAACATTAATTTTTGCCAAACAATATTCAATCATACATATCAAGCAATAAGGTATTTAAATGATCACTGAAGTTCATAAATGATTTGATAAAGGAATAAATGGAAATTATCAGTCTGGAGAATCAGTATATGTGGATGTTGGTATTGTAGGGGTTACAGAATCAACCACAGATGACAATGCACATATAAGAGAACCAAAGAAAATCACACTGCCTAACTTAGAGCTAAAGATATATTGCGCTTTCAGACATCTGTGAGAAACGACTTTCACAAAAATCTGTCAATATTATTACATCTGTGAATATCCCTAAAAAAGGCACAAATACCTCTAGGCAAAAGGATTATCATTGCATGAGCATCAAATGTAAGTCAAGTTTTACTAAATCTCTTGCACAGAATGCTGAAAATTGCATTTTACGGCTTCCAAAGATTTCAAAATTTCCTGGGAGAGAATGCCGCTAGACTCCCCTGAGAAGAAAGGAGCCGACAGCCCTTTTTTGATACAGTCGGTTACCCTATTCAACCTTGCTGGCTACTTCAATTTTTACTGAAACCCCTGCATGTCACAAAAGTGTTTTCAGTAGCTCACAGAACAAAATTATGTGAATTAACAAAAATCAATTAATATTTAGCAGATAAAAAGAAACAACCAAACAGAGATATAGCTAAAAGCTAGGAACCTTTAAGTTTATGAAGATTTTAGAATTACTAGCTACTAGGGATCAGACATTAAAATAGGTTTATTGTATCCTAGAATGTGTGGATTCTAATAATGTCATATGACATGCTTTTCAAAAAATTTGTTGAAAACATGACCTCATGAGTTTGTAAATGTTGAAGTGGTATACCAGAGTGTTGTTTCCATGCAATTGATATTCCTTTTACTTTTTTAAAAAGGATTACGTAGTTTCTGCTAAGTAACTGCTTGACGTATTTAACTACTTATTATTTGCATTGTTCCAACGAGTGATTCACAGGAACCAATGAGGTATATCCACTTTTGTTCAACACAATACAGTGTCAACCAAATACTGCCAGTGGCATCAAATGAATAAAAATTTAATTAAATCAGTATTCTTTTGACTTTAGCAGACTGACTGCTGAATATTAAAAGCCCAAAATTCATTAGCTTAAATCGAAAGATTTTTTCTCAAAGGTGTGAGCTGTCTTGGTCCAATATAAACTTTATTTCTTAATCTTAAGTTAAGTAGCCAGTACTTGAACAATATCTGTATTTCTCTGCCTTAAACAATTTGTCTACATTGAAAATGTTTCAAAAAGAATTATGTGTCACTGAAGGCATACACATTTAAAATTAAAAAACAATATGAAAGAAGTGGAAACAGAGCTTATGACTTGAGTTCTTAAAGGCTCTCATTTATGTGTGCAAAACAATATTTATCACAAGAAACATTCTAACTCTAACTCGTGTCAAATGACATGCAACGATGCTATATCTCAGAATCTGCTCTCCAGCCAAAAATATTGGCTAACAGTTTAGTATGGCCAAATATAAATCAACTAGGTAACGACTTACGTTGTAGATGATCAGGAAGTAAACGAAAAATGATTTTAAACAGTAAAAAAAACGTTAAAAGACCATGAGTTTTCACAAAATTAACTAAATGGTTGTTTTCATGGTCTCAAAATATGCATATCATTCATTGTCTAGATCTTACAAAAAAATTATGCCATTTGTTTTCAGACAAAAATTATAATTATGTGAGCATCAACAGTAATTAGCAGATTTGCTAACTTCTAAGCCTATGGTGATATTTTATTTACCAGCTGAAACAAATCAACAGGTTTCAATCAACAAATCAATTGTAAAAATGTTTTAAAGCAGTAGGATTACATTGTCCATAGCACCTTTATAATAAAAGTTGGTCAACTATAACAAAGATTCAGAACGTTCTAGTAGTAATGAACGCGGCTATGGAGTACACGCTTTTTTAAAGCTTACTTTTACAAAAAGTAAAGAGGAAAAGTGAAGTATACAATGTGTATTTCTTATATTAGCTTAACGGGAATTGGAAGTGAATCACTTTCAATGACAATTATTATTTACGTCAGAAAACCGCATCGGGTGTAGTGATACACGTCACTCGAATGTTGTGATCAAGTTCTCAGAAAAGGGAAAATGAAAAACAGGACGTCCGTAAAAGAAAAGCGACGTCCGTATAGCTCGAAACAGTTCAATTTGAGACTAAAATTTCGCAAAAGTTGCGGATCTGGGGGCTGTTTCTCGAAAGTCCCGGTAACTTTTCGGGCCCGGATTGTTGTGTTTGCGTTCAACTGAGTTCAAGATCGAGGTTTCAATAATTTAGAAAATAATACAGTGCAACTGTTAGTGAACGAAGCAAAATTGACTGGTTTGTGGGCTAAGAATTGTGCTACTATCTAACAGGTTTTAATTTCAAAATTTCCTTTCGGGCCTGAAAAGTTCCCGGGTCTTTCCAGAAACGGGTCCCTGATCGCTAAAGAACTAAAAGAGAGTTATTAAATTGACTGGAGCTTCACTAATTGACAGAAGATTAACTATTAAGCATCAATAACTATGAAAAACGCTTTCAAGATCAACATAAACAATAAAACTGTGCACAAAGATGTAAGCTGATAAAGCTTCAACAACATTGTACCTACCAGAAACAAGTATCGTGAAAGGTCGTTTACTATACGAGAGGCCATTCCGTCAGGTTGTAAATTCTTTAAAGCTCTTTGTCAAAGGATGAGGCAAAATTGTCCCTAAAAGACAAAAAAAATAGACAAGATTAACCATTGTTGACGGATAATAGTGCTGTGAAAAAACGCGAAATCCAGCAGAAGTCCCGCACCGAAACAAAGACGAAGTCCTTCAAACAGAACGTAATGACAATTACGTACCCAGTGCGAATTACATCTGCTTAAAAGAGGAAAAACTAAACTGATCTTTCACAGTGGTTGCTCACATTCTGTTTTGTCATCAAGCGAAAGATTATTTATATTGCATTGTCTATGAGTTCCGCTATTGAGCTAAGAGACGCACGGTCGCGTTTTTGCTTGACGCGTATTCCATATTCTCCTCGCGAGGCTCCTGGCGAGGGGACCTAACAGGAACATACACTCACTTGATCTATCCCATGAATAACAGATCCATGATCGAACTAGCGCTAAATATTTGCACTTTACGGAAAGTTCCTTCCAGAGAATCGCCTAGTTTTCATTCAAAAATGAAAGAAAAGATGGCGTTAAATTAAAAAAAACCCCGCTTCTGTGATTCCCGCGCTCGGACTTCAGTTTGTCCCACTCTTTCCCCTCCCGGCCCTAGTTAGTTATATCTAGCTGGGGCCCAGTTTACCCCACGACGACAAGAACGCCTTGTGAAAACTTTCGCGTGCACGTTGAACAACTGTCGATAGAGGTCTTTTAAGATGCAAAGTTTTATTTTAGGAAGACTCCGGCTCCAGCGACTCACTCCAAAAATTGTTCCCTTGAACCTTAGAAACTACGCTCGCACTTTTGCTTCAAAGGAAGTCGAAAATCGGGACGAAGATGTTGGCATTACTGGGAGAAGAAGGCGTACCAAAAATAGATCCAAGATCCATGCTTCTGACCCCGATGACGAATTTATGCAGATGTGGAGCACAACAGAGGGGTACATTCAAGATCAACTCAGAGAAGTCACAAAGGGCGTCAAAATGTCCAGACGAAAGTACGTGAAAGTGAATCGACCTAATGTTAGCACACTGCCCCTTGCGAGTGAACTGACGTTAGACGAGCGGAGTAAATTGCTAGAAGATGATCCCTCTGTGGATTTTAGAATCCCTAGAGCAGAAGATTTTGCAACTCTGACCCCCGTCTTCAAATCGCTGACAGATGAGGAAAATTTCGAAAGTGTGGAAGAAAATGTCTTGAAAGTTTCTGAAGATAAACCTGAGATAGGATGCAATGTTGTAGACACTTCAAGAATTTTTTCATTCGAAGACTTTAATCTTCACCCAAAAATCATAGAAAAGCTTAAAAAGTATGAGATTATTAACCCAACACCTATACAAAAGCAAGCAATACCACTGATCATGAGTAGCAAGAGCATACTGATTCAGTCTGAGACAGGATCTGGCAAAACTCTAGTATTTTTGTTGCCTGCTATTCAGGATCCTGGGAAAAGTTTTGGTACAGTGATTGTGGTGCCAACCAGAGAACTGGCAAGTCAATTGGTGTTTGAGGCTCATCGGTTCCTTGGAAATAAGACTGTGGTGGAATCTTTTGTAAGTGGGAACTGTCGGTTATCATTAACCTTGTTTATACACTGTAATACAAAGAACGCCAGTGGTAAGAGATGCTTAGGCATATTTTGCTTATTGGTACTTTATTTTGGTGGGTCTTCAATTTTGCATTTTTTGTGATTGCAAAAAATATCACAAAATTTAAGACCCAGAAATAAAAATCCTCACGAAATTTAATACCCAAACAGAAAATTCAAAATATCACAAGAAAAAATGATTTTAAACATGTAATATAATAATTATCCAGACTTTGTATTGGCAAGTACACAAATTATTACATGTAAAGTTTACTTGTGTCTTTGGTTGTGAAATAACATTGATTTGCAAAGATTTCACTTATGACAAGGAGAATCATAAAAAATATTTTAAAAGTTCAGATTTTGTTGCACATTTTCCTCTTGAAATCACAAAAATAAGACCCAGCACACCCTCTCCCACCAGAATAGTGAAAGTACCAATAAAGATAAATGCTTAAAATTTTCACAGGGGAGGCATTTACTTATTTTCCAATTTTCCCTAAGAAAGGATGTGCTGCTGAACAGAGTATGATTTTAGGTAGCCTGTGAAAACAGCCCTTTCTCCTCGCTCCTGGTGGACGTTTCACGAGGAGGAATGTCTGCGACTCAGCGACAGAAATTCTATACTGATGACGTAAAGCAATGTTTACATAAGAAATCCGGTAGTCATGGGGTTCCAAATGCAACTTTGTTCAACTTTATGTTTCTCTGGTCCATTTTGGTAAAGTGTTGTGTTCATCTGCAAAGGAGCTCCAGCAAAACTCAAATGCTTCTTCTAAAGAGGAATATATTCCACAAATATTGACTGTTTTGTTATAGATTCATCGCATTTACTTTTGACCTTTGTAGCCTTTTGTCTTTTGTCTGTCATTCATAAACAATCGCTAAAACAATGTAACTTCTCCGTCGTCCAATCAGCACTTATGACTGGATTCCGGACAGATCTTACGTCATCAGTATGGAATTTTTGTCGCTGAGTTGCAGACGTTCCTTCTCGTAAAACATTCTTAGCGGCGTCAGGAGCAAGGAAAACGGTTGTTTTCGCAGGCTAGGTTTTAGGGTATTTTGTCTTAAGCTGGTTATAGGACTGCACTATTCTAAATTTAGTGCCCGAACCAAGTGTCTGTCTGAAGATTTTGAACAATTAAAGGTCCAGCTGGACTAGTGTTGGGAATCAGCTGAGATTTCAGAAATAAAACAAAGTGACAATAAGAATTCATTATGCAAATAAAATATAATAATATTATAACTTGTCACTTTAATCTTACTAGGTGAGTGGTGTGGACATTGCTAAACAAGAAGCAAGGTTAAAAGATCGAACCAACAGGCCTTTGATTGCCATTGGCACTCCAAAGAGACTATTGGAAATCATTGACAAGGATCCTTTACTTGTACACAGAACAAAGAGACTTGTGATTGATGAAGTTGACAAAACTCTTTTACCCCTTAGCAAGCGGGTTTCAATAAAGAAGAGAACTCTACGAGAGAACAATCCCAGGCCTGCCAAGCTTCTAGTGGAGAAGATAAAAAAATACTCAAGGGTAATTATAAATTAATACAGTGAAATCTATATTACGTAGACCACACAATTTTTTACGCAGATACCCTCTAGAAACTCTCTAGAAACTCCACTAGAAAAATCTGCCAGTTTTTCAGGATCCATTTGAAACAGCATTGCTTCCACTCTCCACAAAAACAAATCTTAAAAACCAAGATTATTGATTTCTGGAAAGGAAACTACCATACAGATGTCTGTCAAGTAACTTTTTGATCAAAATCCAAATTAATACTGGGAAAATACACCCCCAAATTCTGGTAGAAAACCAATATTTCAATCTCCAAAACACCTTCTTGACCTCCGCATCCAGCTTGATGAATAATCTTTCACATATTAGCAAAAACCCACTATGAATGGTCATCCTCCTCAACATCATCATTCTGATCCTCATCATCATCATCATCGATCTTCTTCGTCATCAAAGTGATTTTTTTTAACTCCTGGCAGCATTATTTACAATGATCTACAGTGAAGGGACATCTTCTTGTTCAGTGACTCAATCACCCCTCCGCTAGCTTTCTGACAGAGATTCAAATTAATATTGATTAATTTTACAACTGTTGAATGTTAGGTCAGGCCAGTTCAGCTTATTGGAGTGTCAGCTACTGTGAATGATGAACTGAAAGAAGACTTGTCAGAATTGGGTTGGGGAGATCATGTGACAGTCATTCAGTCCCCTGCATCTAAGGGAAAGCGCCATAGTGTTCCAACCTGCATCAAACATCAGTATGTTGTCTGTGATGAATCTTCTGGAAGGTCAAAAGCCCAAACTCTTGCAAGGTAATTAATGAACTTTAGTGATCTGGCATGTAGAGTTGATCACTGTCAAGTTGTAGAGCTCTTCTTTCTGTCTAGCCACCATTTTGCCACACTACCACTGGTTCCCCCGCAAAAGGATGTCTGAGAAATGACTACCAGAATTTTCATACTGATGACATGTCATTATTTAATTGATAGACAGCACTTTTCATAAAATATAGGCTGTACCCAAAAGGCTGATCTTTTGGAATTATTATTATTATTATTATTTATTATGGGGTCTTTAGAGTTATAATGTTGGTCCTTGTCACCACTCTAAATCACTGTAGGTTCCAATGTTCAGGCACATTGCCTATGGTAGAAGTGGAAAGCGATTGATGTCATGGGCGAATTAACGGTTTGGCCGAGGGGAACGCGGCCACCCCTTTTCCTGTGAAATTTTGCATTATTTGTATAGAATTTTCAGTAAAATAATATTTATTTTACTGTGAATTCTTTAATAGTACCTATAGAACTGGCAAGTGTCCCAGACACCCATTTCCAACTTTCTGGATCTGCCCCTGAATGTAAAACTTTAACAAAATATATTTGTTTCAGGATTTTCAGGGAATCAAACCAGAAGTCTGCCCTTGTGTTTATCCACCGACTTCACTCAGTGGACAGTTTTGTTTGGGAGTTAAGAGATCTGGGTTTAAATGCAGTCGCTTTTTACAGAAAAGTGGCAAACCAAGATCCTGAAGAATTTGAACAGTTTCTTATGCAGTTTCGTACTGGACAAACAGACATTGTTGTTGGCACTGAAGAAACCGTAAGGGGTTTGGACTTCAAAGACTTAGATCATGTGTATTTAATGGAAGTCCCAAAAAATATTGACGAGTACTTACACCTTGCTGGAAGAGTTGGTCGTCAGGGGAGACCAGGCACAGCAACCACTTTGGTATCTCAAGGGGACCAGAGAGAGGAACGAAGAATTAGGCTGGAATATCGAAGGCTTGAGTTGCCTTTTGAAGAAATTGTTTTGGATGAAAGTTTTTAAATAAATTACCTTCGCTTGATGAATCTGAGTGTGTACACATGAAAAAAAACATGTTCTATTAATGGGGTGGCAAACATGACATGTTTTGCTGTGAAACATTAATTTAAGGTTTGACAGTCATAAACCAAATGCTACGCCAAAAATATGTTAATTGATCAGTGTTATTTAAAAATGACTTTTATTTTATTGGGAACAGATTGTATTATTGGAGTAATTCCAATTATTTTAGGGCAAAATATGGAAATTTTCTAACAGTAGCCTCATTCTAAGTTGGTAACGAAATGTTGAATACTAACACACCATTATTTTCCTTCACAGCTGTTTTTAGGCTCATCACGCAATGTTTGTGAAAAGTACACACAAGAAATGTGACACCATTAGTGGCTGTTGGCTTTTGTTGTTTGTGCTAATGTGCAAGAGAGTTTTTCTCCATAATTTTTCAGGAATATTTTTCATTCAAAAACAGCACACAGGGTTGTCACTAAGGGCCGGGGGCCGGAGATTTCCCCCGGCTACTCAGAGCATGGCCCCCAGCTACTTTCGTGTTAAATTAAACCAAAAGAGCACACCTTTGAAACACACAAAGACTATCCATCAAACTAAATGCAAGTTTCATCTGCAGTGGGTTTAAGTAATTTTGAAATACTCACATACAAAAACTAAGAAATGTCAGAAAAAGACATCTGACTTAGATTTGGTACTAGTACACACGCGCGACGGGAACAAGAATGTAATAGGTTTATTGAGTAAAACAACTAGTTTGCACGTGCATCACGCTTTTTTGTACATTTCTTTGCCGTAACTGCACGACTGCGACGTGAAAATGCCTAGTTTCACGTTTTATGGAGGACGTAAACAAGCGACGACAAACTTTTCTTTCTCTTTCTAAACTTGAGTGTGGTCCCAAATACTCAACTCCTGGGAAATTGGCCTAATAGCTATTTTCAGCGAATTGAAATAAACGCGACAAAGTTGGAAAAAACGCCAATTCATTTTAAAAGTGCCGTTTTCGCTGCCGTCACCTTTGTCGATGCTTAAATTCCTTAGTTTCCTTAGCTTTGTGTTGAACATGTTGAAGAAGTGGCAAAGGAATCTGCACTCTTTGTTCACAAAAGACCTGAGCAAATCTCTGTTGACATCAGAAGTTGAGGCTCCATGATTGCTTGCAACTTCCCCGGCTACTTACAACAAATACCCGGCAACTTGAAATCTTAGTGACAACCCTGAGCACACTAGCTTTAAAAATTATTATTTGAACTTTTAAGAAGTTCTGCAAACATCTACTTAATACTTGCAATTAATATTTTGTTAAGCAAACACACACCACAGGCGCGGATCTAGGATGTATACTGACTGATTTTCTAAACAAGCACCGAGGGCGCACGCTTTTTTTTTCGGGGGGGGGGGGATCCAGGGGCATGATGCCGTGGGAAAGTTTTATAGATTTTAACTCCCCAAAGTCCCCTTTCCTGGGTTTCTAATTCATTCAGGATATTGGCCAGTTCCATTCTCCTCGGAAAAAGCCTTGCAACTTGGAAAGTTTATTCTTCATTAAAAGTATATCTTTTATGTAAAATCTGACCGTTTTCCGTAAAACGGTGGAAACCGGTGTGGATCCGCGCCTGCACCAGGTCAGATGCTTCCAGCCACCAAACAGTCACCTACTCTTTGCACAAACATTCATCTAGCTATCACCCTTCAAACTTCAAAATGTTAAAAGAGCTGTGTCATGAAATTCAGCCAAATTAGGAAAATACAAAATGCCCATTAAATTAAGAGAAACATAAAAATAACCACTTAAAACTTTAAAGGAAGGTTAAAATAACATAACAGAAACAACAGATGTCATGGATGGGCAAAACTGAAGAAGATTAAAACGAATTGACATTAGGATTTTTGAAAACTGTTCAGCCTAACAGTTTTTCAAAGTTGATCCCTGCTGCTTGCAACTTCAAAAATAATGCTCAGGAGACATATTTGTTTGTCTCGAATCTCTGATTTTGTCATTTACATGTAATTTCTTTGCTTACTTTAAGTTCCACAGCGATTCAGGGTGAGTAATTGGCAAAATTAAACAAAATGAATGGGACTGCCATAACACAGCCCCTTTAACGTCATGTTTACACCCAGTAAGAGCTTTTTTTTGTCACATCTCCATGCTTAAATGCAAACAACAGTATAATTATATGTAACAAATTAATTAGACGAAGTGAGACAAAAAGAGATATTATATCAAATAAAATTTATTACATACAAAATGAATAATATAACTGCTTTGATATTGCAGCCAGTTAATCTATTACATGTATATAATATACTTACAGTATGTTAAAAACGTTAACAATATTGTTCCTAATAGAGAACTTTTCATTTGGCTTAGCAAACACTTCAATCAAAGTGCACCACTCTCAATATTTGGACAAGCCTAGCTACTGCCACAACACATGTAACCATCAAAATGGAGGGAAAATCTACTAAATTATGTAACCTTTTAACATGCCAGCCAGTAAATATCAGCAGGAAAAATCTTCCATTTCTGTGGTGCCTTGCTTTAAAGTTGCTATTAGGGAGCTTCTTATTTTGGACCAAAAATTAATTCTGCTCATATGAATTGATTCTCTCTATCAAAGACACCAAATTGTAATCCCAAAGGCATCTACTGTCAACCCTCCAAATTAAAGTTTTTGCTTGTCAACCAAATCTTTTGGTTTAGGGAGACGTTTTTTACAAATCAAGTCACTAGCTTCAAAATTTTAGGCACCACGGCGACTAAAATAGTCACATCTTGGAGGGTTGCCTGTGGAAATATTTTGATTGTACTATTAAAATTAATGTGCTTGACACATCACATAACAATCTAGGATATACACAGCACCACATTATATAATTATTTAGCTTTTGCTTATGTCAGATGCACATGCCAAGGGACTAGAAAAATAAGCAGTCATAAAGAGATTATGTTAATCGCCATCCTGTTCTATTCATTTCACTATAACTGGGGTGAAGAATGTCACTGAAGGCATTGTATAAAGGTTCACCATAATATTATTATTATTTTGTTGGGCATTGTGGACTATTTTGCAGGCTAAAATGTCAATGGGCAAAAAGACAATGCAAGAAATCTGCACTTCTTTTTTACTATTCTAAACAGTCTGTGATATCCACAAAGCTTTTTTTTCGCCAAACAAAAATGCCACCCCTTTATATCAATCACTTGGACCTAACCAAACTGGTGCGAATAAAATTGCAAAATCATGCTCTCATTCCAAACTACTTACATGTAATCAATTATTAAGTATGAATTTTCCTAAAAAATTTATCTCTATAACCATTTCAGTCCTCAAGTCAACAAACTTTTTCTTCACATTTTTACCAGAACAAACTTTACATTGAATAGGCCTTTCCACAATTTTTTTCTTTTTAAAGTTATGATGAGGTTCATTGGGTGAAAATCTGCTGACACAGCTGAAAAGAATGCAGCAGAACGTGTACATCTAAAGTGAGCAAAGATTAGCTCCCAAAGTTGCAAAATTTTACAGACATTTATTTGTATAGTGAGGTGCAATTTGGTGCCCTCCAACATTCAAACATC